TTTTAAGAACTAACGATACCTCTATTTTTTTTATTGGCAATTTACAAGTATGGTTGAAATGGAATACTAGACATAACTCTTTGAGAGGAAAAAATTGGCTTATGGTCTTGAATGAGAGTCTTTGCAATGATTTGTTGGCTACTTTAGACATCCAAATCCAAATCCATCTTTGACAGGAGCACGTCTTCAATTACAAATATAATACATAGGTGTAACTACCTGTTGATGAAAAATGTGGTCAATCAGGAATTTCATCACAACATTTTCCCTGGTATCAACTTCCGTGACTAATGCTGGACACACCCCATAATTGAAAGGGTATGTGTTGATGTCAATGGCTCTGTCCAATACTTACACAAAGCAGCCTACAGTGGATTGCTTCAGAACTATGATCGTGAGTGCATCATATGCTGAATTACAAGCTATTAAGTTTGGTCTATTAGTTTTTCAATAGCTTGGGCTATTTAGATTTAACTTACATTCAGATTCGTTGGATGTTCTCAATCTCCTAAGCTAAGATTCTTCATTGGACCATCCCTTGAGAAAATTTGTGCTAAAGGTTTTAAGAGCTGTTGTATGATGCACGGGACGTCTCACTCTGGCAAGGAGGCCATTATGTGCGATGATAACATGGCAAAGAATGCTTATACAATGTTCTTGGGATAGTGCTTGTTCATTTCATCCCCCAGGATGCTTGGAAAGATTTATTGAAGACCAATAATAGGTTGTTGGATGAGATGGTTCTCATTGTTTAGAACCTAGTTTCTATTTCTCCTTTCCAAGCTTTTGCTTGCCTTTGCATCTTAAACAATCTATTTATATAGTAAAACAATGTATATTGTATATTCTAATCAAGCCTATGTAACGTCATTTCTAACATTACCAAGCACACCGAACACTCAACACGAAACAACGTTATGATAACTGAGATTATATTAATCCCATAAATAGTTATCATAACCTAAGGTTAAAAACATTTAAACAAAATGGGATCTCAAGAAAACCCTTATCAAAGATTGTTTAAGCTCAAACTATAGTTTAAAAATGATTAAATAAGCCAATTTAAGCAATAAAAAATTTTTAGCCATCTAGGCGCAATACGCCGCGGCACAGTGCATCATCCACCGTGGTAGACTACATAGAGAAAAATTCCCCTTCTCTATGCCTTGCACTGCTATGCAATGGACCATGCACCGCAACGCACGTGCCCTATCATGATAGTAAACTGCTGTCATGACAGCTCTTCGAGCTAAATTTCAAAACATGCCGTTTTGCCGTCTAATATTTGATTCCAGCAATTCAAGCGTTCACATGTAGCTCTTAGAGCCACCTAGCTTTTAGCATAGATCCCATACCCAAATATTGAGTCAAATGAGATTTGGACACCTGAACCCAAAATGGCTCATTTTCTTTCAAAAATCACAACCAAGGTGCCCAAACCCCCAAACTAAGTGCCAATAACCATGGAACCACTTAAACCAACTCAAATGGACCACAAACAACCTGTTCAAATATTCAAATCACAACAACAACAAAGACAAGAATTGGCTACCAAAACCCTATTTTCAATATAAATTTCACTAAGGGCAACAATTTTTCATAAATAATTCAATGGCCAATCTATCATATAAATCAATACAAAACTAATACTTATACTAGTATCTCAAACTCTCACAGCCATTACAACATAGATATAACAAACCTAAGTCGAGATACCTACAGTTCACAATAGAATTCATGCAAGTGTATTACAAAACTCTATATTTTTATATGTCCTAAATTGGCATATGCATTCAACCATTCGTTACAAATCAAAATAAGTGAAATGACTATAAAATTGAGAGCTAGTCCTCTTAATACTCGGTTGCACCTTCCTTTCTCTTACCCATATTGGAGCCTTTACTTATAAAATATAATAACTGGGTGAGTTGAAGACTCAGTAATCAAATAGTCTAATCAATTACTCGTGTGTAAGAACAGTTTGTGCGTATGTGAAGTGGCATAGTGAATCATATAACATGTCTCATAGATATGCACATATGGTCATTGTATGATATACATGATCAACACACCACCCTATGCCCTCCTTATGTCTTTCAACTGAATTTATGGGCTAACAATTCGATAGGACTAAGTCCATATGACTGGACTAGCTTAAGCTCACCATTAGTAGGAGGTAACCCCAGCCAAGAATGCCTTCACCCACTATGGACCACAAATTCTCTCTATCCACAAATACTAGGGGTGTCGATGCCCAATCTACCACTTATAGTATTGAAACTTTCAAACAATATAATATTAAGCACTAGGGCCCCACAGTACCAGTATGCGATATGAATTTCTAAATAATATCCTAAAAACACATTAGGGTAAACTCCTACCCTCTCATAATGATCATGCCAAACATGCTTAATACATCTAACACATATCCATAACATATCATTTATCACAATTTCTCATTTCCACTTAAGCTATAGAATTTCATAAGTAATTATATATATATAATAGCACTTATCTTTCCAAATACTAAAACTTTAAAACAACTTTTCATTCCACTTCATATAACTTCACAATCATAATTTCATATTAATACTAGGCTATTATCAAACTAAAATATTACTTTTAAATCTAACACACTACTATCCAAACACAAAAAGGGAGATTACACAATCTTGTTACACTAACCCTTTTGTCACTAAAAGGGTTATCGTGGTCAACCAACAGCTTCACACATGTCTATTAACACCACAATGCTCAATCAAAGATTAATCTACATAATTAAACTCTTAATTGTCAATTCTCCACATTAATCACCTTATTTTATAGTATAACTAGGTGTACCCATTATGTTCAAAACCTCAATTTAGCCTCAACAATCCTTTCAACACACTGCATTAACACTATGTAACATCCCAATATATAAACAATACCATTACATTATTCACATTGCTCTTAGTCATCCAATTTCTACCTAGGATTTTTCTAAATCTTAACCAAGAATTTTAAGTCACCCAAAAACTTAGAGTTAGAGATTTGATTTAACTCCTCAATACCTTAAACAAATCAATAGGTTCAGCCATTTCTTAAGAAAACACGAAATCAAAGCCTTACAATACCCAAATCATTAGAAAATTTGAATATAAGGAGAAGGAGAAGTGGAGGAAGCTTACCCAAAGCTAAATCTTACTCCAAATGCTTCCAATGTGACCCAAAGGTCGAGCCTTAACACCAACCGATTATCTACCGTTGTCTCTCTGTGTTCTCTCTATCCTACTTCTTATTTTCTGTCTAATTTTGCAAGTTGATAAGCACAAATTTTGTACGTGTGCCGTGGAATATTGGCTTGTCCGTCGTGGCACATGGCACAAAGAACTCCACACTCATTTTGAATCTTTCTCCACGCCATGGCTCGTTCGTACTTTAATCTAACCCTCTTTTAAAGCTGTTCAAAGATCCATTAGCTACATTAGTTTCCTTAAAACATTATTAACCAAAAATCTATATAATTTAACTAAAAAACCTTTTATGAATAGTGGAAATTTTTAAAGTAAAAATCTAGATGTTATAGTGTACAAGGTAGGATTAAACTTCAAAATTCTAATGTATTGATGTATTGAACAAATTTTCATTTTAAACCATGAAATTTGTTGGATTTAATCAAAGTGTGATTTTAACTTTTATTGCATAATTATTGGATGGTACGGTGTTGACCTGAGTCTTTGCTTGGCTATTGCTATTTTTCATGATTTCAATCTATTAGTACTTTTTCGTCATTTGATGCTTATGGGCAGGGGTTTTAAACTTTGGTGAACGATCAGTGTCTGCACTCTTTGTTTTTATTTTAAATGATACAATCTTTTGGCCAAATAAATAGTCTTAACTTTTAAAAAAAGAAGAGATATAAATTTTAAAGATATAGAATACCAATTTTTTTTAAATATAATAGTAAAATACGGAGGTTAAATAAAAATTGTGGACATATTTTTTTGGGAGCATCACAACCAATAACCTGACAATAAATTTATTTACAGATAAAAATTAATATAGAATGGATTATTGTTAAAATAAAAATATGTTGTTTTTTCTTGAATAGGACTTATTACTAGTTCTTGTTAGCGAACAAGTTTATTACCAAATACATGGATGTGATTCTCCCTTTCTTTGATGAAAAAATTGTGGGCATATTAATAAGGGAAAATGATAGAAAAATTCCTCTAGAATATGCAAATAATAATAAGATCTTACGAAATGCCATAATTCTTATCAAGTTTTTATAAAAATTTTTGATATTAATGATTTTTGGTAAAATGACTAAAATATCCCAATTTTAAAATAAAAAAGTAAATATTAGTTATTATTTTAGCTTAACGAATGACTACTTTGTCTCTCACAATGGCTAGAGTACAGCAAATTATAATTGCATGTTCTATTTTAGTCATTGTTAGAAGCAAAATAGTCATTACTTAAACTAAAAGTGATTGATATTGCTTAAATTAAAATTAAAATACTCGATGATATTTACAATACTTATATTTCAATGAATTAAAAATTTACACAGGAAAAGTTTTAATTGCTTGTTTCAATTTAGTCATTGTTAAAAGAATAAAAAAGTTACTTATTTCTTAAACTATAGTAATTACTAATTTTTATTTTTTAAAGCTAAGGAAATTCTACTTATTTCACTAAAAAATTAATATTAGAATGGTCTCTAAGGTTTTGAAAAAAATTATAATATTTTGTAAAATCTCATTACTATTTGAAAATTTTATGGGAATTTTTATGTCATTTTTTCTTGTTAATAATTTTTAATTATTATTCATTATTAATTAATTTTTTTGGTAGGAATTATTAATTTATTAGTTACTGACAATTAATTAACTATATTGGGTCGGCCCAAAACAATTGGTGCTAGTAGATTTGTAACCGGGCTGACCCGAATCATCCTGAGCCGATTGCGAGTTAGGGTTTAAATATCCTTCGCTCCAATCGAGGGTAACTCTTTTCTTCCCCCCCAAACAGGAATCCGTAATTTCCAAACCCTGAACGAAGTTCCTTTGCAATGGATTTCTCCAAGAAGCGCAAAACTGAGGAGAACGGAGACAACGATTCCGTGCCCTCGACAACCCCGCTTGGCGCCGATGACATCCACAAGATTCTCCAACCCTTCTCACAAGAACAGCTTGTCGAGCTTCTTCAATCAGCTGCTCTTCATCACCCTGACGTTCTCGAGTCTATACGTTCCGTCGCCGACCGTGACTCCACCGTTCGGAAACTCTTTGTTCGGGGGCTTGCGGGGGAAACCACCACGGAGACGCTCAGCAGTGTTTTCTCCTCCTTTGGAGAGCTCGATGAGGCGATCGTTATCTTCGACAAAACAACGGGGAAGTCCAAAGGATACGGCTTTGTGACGTTTAAGCACGTTGATGGTGCTATATTGGCTTTGAAGGAGCCCAGCAAGAAAATTGATGGGAGAATGACGGTGACCCAGCTTGCAGCTGCTGGATTATCGGCCAGTCAAGGGACTAATGCGGCTGCCGCAGCCACAAGTGATGTTTCTACCCGGAAAATTTTTGTGGGCAATGTGCCGTTTGATATCTCGTCGGAGAGGCTGTTGAGTTACTTTTTGGCATTTGGCGAAATCGAAGAAGGGCCACTTGGGTTTGACAAAGGTAATGGAAAGTCCAAAGGTTTCGCATTCTTTGTGTACAAAACGGAGGAGGGCGCTAGGGCGTCTCTAGTTGAGCCAGTCAAAACTATTGATGGTCATCAAGTGCTTTGTAAATTAGCCATGGATAACAAGAAGGGAAAATCAGGAGGAGCTCCTAACCAGGGTCCTCCTGGTTTACAAGGTAATGGCATGGCAGCACAGCAACCGCAACCATCTTTACCCGGTCCTATGATGGGATCAAATTATGGCGGTCATGGATCTTCATATGGGGGATTTGGTGGTGCGCATCCGGGTCCCATGACGGTGCCTAGTAATAATTATGGTTTGCAGTCTTCATTGCCGCCATATGGCACTCAAGTTCCATCTACCTTAACTCCTAATAGTGGTGGGGGGTACGGTCCAGGAATTGGAGGGCCTTACGGTGGCTCTCAGTTCAGTGGGCCAACTTCTGGTGATTATGGTGCTAGGCTGCCTCCAACTTCTGCTGGAATGCCTTCCGGAGGATATCCAGACGGTTCTCATTATAATATGACCTCATCTGCAGTTCCCTCGCAGCATCAACAGCCCATGCAAATGCCAAGGCTGGCTCCCGGAGGAATGTACCAAGGCATGCCACCCTACTACTGAGGTAGTATTACATTTGATTTTCAATTGCTTTGGTTTATTGCTGTAATATATGCGCGTGATGCGGTTTGCATTTTTTTGGGTAATAGTTCCACTAATCCCTGACTTCATGTGTGTTTATTTTTCATATTTTCTTTTCATAGTTTCATTTTAAACTTCTATTTTCATTCCTTCCTAACCTTGGCAACTAGCAGCCTTTCCTTTTGTTTTTGTTATTCAATCCTCATCGTTGGGTTCAAAAAATCTTTTTGGTTGTTTCGATTGGTCTGTACACAACAATTCTTCGATTGTTATTACTCTTCCGTATGTGAATGCGATAGGCACTATTAAATTTACTGGGACATTTTGGTGCTTTAGGATTATCTACCTTTTGAATTATAATTTAGAACAATGAGATTATAACTGGCAATCTGTGATTATGAAGCTGCATTATAATGTGTGTGAAATATGATGCGTAGAAGGAAAAATGTGTATATTAATCATTGCCTCTGTATGTGAAATTATTTTGATGATGACTTCTGTGCTTCTTCCGTGTGTGGACTCTCCCTATATTTTTTGGCATGGCTTCTCTGGTTGGACTTAGAATATTTGAGAAGAGAAAGGAGGAAAGAATCTTTGAGACTTAATGGAGTTTTGGAAGGAAAGGGATTGAACAGCTTCCTCCTGCTGCCCCTCCATAATTTCACACACACACATACAGGCATGACGCGTGCACATGGTAATCTGGATGAAACCAATCACATCATGAATATGAATATTTGTTTCGTTGCACTAAACTTTTGATCTTTCTTTATTTTGGTTCTTGAAAAAGAAAGTTTATGTGGTGGTTTATCTGTCAGAAGGAGTGTATGACTGATTCTTTCCTCTTCTTTTTTAATTCTAGAAACCGTACACTCATGAATAATCAGTAGGCTATATGGAAATGTAATTCTACAGGATACAGTCTTCACACTCAAGTGGACATGATACAATGATATGTAGAGTTATGCTTATTTATTTGATGATTCTGTTACGTGCTTCTGAGCAATAATTATTACTGTTGATAGCTCATCATTAGTTTTAAAAATGTTAATTCAAATGGGTGTTTGATTCAGGTTTGTGATGGCTTCTTGGGCGCTAATGCTTTAAATGGTTATGCTGATTTCGTGAATCAAGACAATGAAATCTTTGGTTTTGATTACATGGACTGCTGTGAATTTGTTGCTGCTTCACTGCCCTCTGCTTCTATGTATTGTTCCAATTTGTGATAGGTTTTAGTGAAAGCTCACATAAGTTTGCTTAGTATTTGAATGTAGTATTTATATGATGATTTGTAGAACATTGTGCTAGATGATTTTACCCTAAATATGGTTTTAAATTATTCAGTAGATTCAAACGTGTTTATGCTTCCTACGAAGAAAAAAAGGTGTTTACCTTGAACTTTGATATATTGTTAGCTGTTGGCCATGTTACTTTGTGCATCTATGGGCATTATGCGGCTGCTGCGCCTTTGTTTCACTATCTGGAGTTTGGGTTCTATTTGAGTATTTCTTGAAATATTCTTATAATTGGTCTCTAAATTCTGAAGTTTTGAAATAGTAAAGCAGTTGAGGTAACGCCATTTTGAGACCATGCATATATTATCTTATCTATTGGATCTGGTATTGATTTGGCGCTCAAACTGAATCTGTTTTAAAATTGCCGACCTTGAGTATGCTTCTTCTTGTCTGATGGAGGATTTGCTGACACTTGATCTGGCAATGTTTATACTGAATTGGTTGTGTAAATCTTAATTTATTTCCGAGAAAACAAAAACTACATAACCTTTTCTTCCAATCAAGAATGGTATTTTCTGACGATTAAAGTAACAATTATGTCTTTGTAAACTTGAGAATGTTGAATATAAATTATATTTGTGGAATTCTATAAAATCTAAATGAATGGCTTTTGTTCTCCAATAGCTTATGAGTCTAATACTTTGGATTCAGCTTGTTTAATATGCAAGTTTAGTCAAGAAGACCTCAAAGGGTTGTATGCAATCTGTTCACTCTACTGTTAAAAAGTGTTTTGATTCTCGTTGTGTTAAAGTAAAACTACATTGCATTTTGTACCCTTGAATGTTAGGCTCAACCCACCTTGATGGTTAAGAGGGAAAAAACAAAATTGGAAATCAAAACCAATGGGGGTAAAGGAAAGAATGAGCATGTGTACGTTGACAATAAATGATACCTTTTCCCTTGTCAACTTTGTTAGTATCAGAGGATATGCATTACAAATTGCATGATTTGATGTGATTCTTCCACACGACAATACAGATTGCTGGTTTCATTAAAACTCTGCGAATTACATCTGCATCATTTGAATTATTATGTTTACCCTATACCAGTTGATCCACTTTATTCCTTGAGACAGTAACACGCTCTTGAGCTGCTGTATCCTCAGACGGGTAAATTTAAATCTCATTCCCATTTGACTGTAATATGCTTCACTAAGAATCTTATATTCTGTCTTGATCTCTTGTCTATGTTTGTGTGCATACCTTTTCTTTAGTTAGATTCTTGTCCTTTGATTATTTTTTTTGGGCCTGAACTTATCTTTTGATTACTTTAATTAAGTGCATTTCAAGCTTAGTTTCTGCTTTGTAGTTTAGGGCAAGTCTAAGCTACTGGTACTTCCAAGAGAGAGCAAAACTTTTGATCGAAACAAGCATGGCTATCAAACACTTGGAATGGAAGTTTTAGTTTAGCTTTTGTGAATTTTTTTTTTCGTACTTCTGGAGAGGCTTTTCTATTCTAATTGTTCTAAATATGTTGAATTCCTCGACTTAACTGTCCTGAAAGTACTTTCACATATTGTGCTGTGATGTTCTTTCATGCTCAAAACTGCTCAGTGTGAGATTTACTGATCTATTAACATAGAAAAGTGCCAATTATTGCTGTGGTGTTCTTTCATGCTCAAAACTGCTCAGTTTGATCTTGGGGAATGTATGTTTAACAGTGCTCACTATTTTCTTGAACTTTCATGTCTACTAAACCTCACTGGCGGCCTTAACTAATGCTGTTACTAATGATTTTGAGGTGGTTTCCACGTCCCGTTTTGATCTGATGTCATTCAACCTGCATCAAATTCCATGTAGTCTTTCGGGTTTTGGACTCACAATGCCAGTGGCCTCCAGTTGCTTAGCGCAGTAGATGGCCCTTTTGTTGTATCATTCCCTTGAGTGAGACTATTTGTAATTATTTTATAGTGGAATAGGAATGCTTTTACTTCAAAAATGGTTTGCCAATATCATGTTACATATATTTTTGTACAAGGTTTCACGTGATAAGTTGACCTTTTCCTGCCTCTAAATCAGCAAATTTGATGCTTTTTGAGTTTGTGCTTAAAGATATCAATCGATGATCTGCATGTGTCTTGTTCTTGGGGAAATATGAGTGTTATATTATAGTGTAACCAAAAGCTAGTCTTGTTAATTATCTAAAGGATGGTACACGCTTGAAACTTGGTCATGAGGTATGGGTAATGCTACGCATGCCTTGGAACTCAGTACCGTTATTCGATTGGCCGTGTTTGTTCTATAACATGAAGCGTCTGTTTGCTTTAGAGTTTAAGATAACAGATCTTTTGCCTTGTTAAAAAAAGATGACATGGTAAAGTTTTCCTTTACCCGTAGCCTCTAGGTGAGGATGTACGGCAAGAAATGTGATATTTCTTTAAATGTATGATGTTCTGATCCGTTAATGGCTGCTGATGAAAGTACAGCACAGATCAGGGAATTCTAATTCTAAAGAAGAAAAATTGATACACTTGAAACACAAAACAAAACCACTTCTAGTAAGGCAAACTCTTGGAACTTGTGCTGATAACCAATGACTTGAACTGGGTAGGATCCCCAGAGGCATTGGCTCTCTGAGTAATAATTTCCATATTCCTATGCAAACTTTGTTTCACCAAGCTCTTCATCATTCTCTTTCCCTCTTTTGCTTCCATTTGATTTACAGGTGAGCCCGTTGCCATTCTTGGTGTTTGTGGCCCGGAATGTGGCCCCATCTTTGATTGCCTCTCATCCTTGAACCATTGCAGTAGCTTTAGTGCTCTCTTCTGAGTTAATGGGCTCCCCAACAGAGCCACCTCAAGCAGCACAGGGACAATCCCTGCTTGTGCCATCTTCTCTCTTTGTGATGAGCTCTGGTGAGCTAGAATCATCAGAATATAAGATGATAACTCTTGGCATTTTGGTTTATCCTCCCATGTCAAAATCTCTATCAAGCTCTCTGGCATCAGTGAGCTATTTTCTATTGCTTTTTTCCCCGTCAAGGTCGCCACCAAGTTCCCCAGAGTGGCAAGTGCTTTCTCTGAACTTTCTTTAATGGAGGATAGTTCTAAGAGGATTGGCACAATCCCAGCAGAGACCAGAGGCCCCACATTCTCTAGCACAGTTGAGAGGTTGCACGAGGCACCCAGGCATGATTGTTTTGTATCAACATTTGAATCTGATTCTAGAATGTGTTTAATGAATGGGAGAAAATCTGATGAAGCAAGAGAAAATTGGCTGTTTGCTAGAGAAGACAAAGATAAGAGCAGCTCTGCGCAGTCCCTTCTTGTTGATTCATCTGCAAGGTCAATTCTTTCTGGCAGTTTGAGGAATATACCTGCCTCCACTATCAAAGCCTTGTTTCTGAAAGAGGAACAAACTAATGAGGAAAATAAGAAAAACATTACTTTGTCAAAGTTAGGCTTACACAATAACTTGTACCAAGTCATTACGAAAAGTCAACTATTCAATGTTCTGCAGTCTTGGTTTCTTTTATGGGGGAGTGGTGTAATTTTGATATGAAAGAAATAAGAATGCCAACCCAACTAGGGAATATCAACATTTCTGCATAAAGAAAGTCAACGAGGATCTCAAATAGAGATCTGTCTTGGAAAGCGCACGTCATGAAGGAATCTGAATAACTACCATAGACCTAAATAATCTGTTGTTTATACATTTTGAAGACAGGAGTGTCGCCCTAAGAGCGATACTGTTCCCTCGCAAGCCCATCCTACGACCCTGCAACGTAGTGGACAGCGAAGCACAAATGGGAGAATTAATGCTAATTATATTATTTTGATGCATATGTACATTTCAGAACGGTGATCCGGAAACACAGGCCACATTTGTATTATGGGATTTAGCGCCATTAATGCAAGCCTTGAAAAGTTTGATAACTCTCTTGAACAACGTACCGAAGACCCTTGGGTTAGTACCAACTTTTGCCTTCGATCACATGCCACTTTATGAGCTATGCCTACCTTAAGATTCACCAAAAAAAAAAAAAAAAGACACTTATGTCTTTCTTTTTTATTCTTTATTTTTTAAAAATATGGGAAGTGGGGATTTTTTTTTTTCCATCTTATGGTAGTATCATAGTTTTCATGAAAATGTATAAAGAGACAATCATCTCATTTAAACAATACTGCCTCTCTCGTTTACTTGTCTAATCGTGTCAGGTTATCATGTTCCAAATTTTAATATATAATTATTATTTATTTGCAATAATATCCTGGTAAATGGAAGGCATTAAATAGAGGTAATTGAGATTTTAAATAGCGTAGGAGGGTGAAACTAGAAAAGGAAGAATAATTCTTACATTATATACAGATTTTATTTTCTCATTAATTTGTGTGGTTTTTTCCCCCCTATAAAGACAAGTCATCCATCACCATAGGGCCACTTGTTTCACCAAATGAACAAATTCTTGCACTTCCTCCATCCTTTTGTAAGATTTTTATAAATAAAAATATATATATAAATAAATTTATTAAATACACTTTATTAATTTTATTTTTTTAAAAAATAAAAAATAAACTTTTAAAAATGCCATTTATTTAATACTCTATTATAAAAGAATATTAAAGAAAAAAATATTATAAAAAAGGTAATATTGATAAAATCTTATTTTTATTAAAGTATTTTATATTTTAAGATATCAAATTTTTATATTTTATAATTTATTACGTGATTTCAAGAACCAATTTTTGTTGGAGCTTCACCCTAACAAATTTCAGATGAAGGGACTTTGAGAAATTTGTAGCTTTTATTTTGGTTCCTTTGTAAACGCTAAAGACTATGTTTTCTGTAGATTAACCAACTCATCCAATAAACATCTCAGATATCTAAAGAATCAACCAATTGACTTTACCAATTTCCCACCAAGTTTAGTTATTTCCGGTTTGAATCAAATAACAAAGTCTTTAGGTAATCCAAAGCTCAAAAGTAGATCAGAAAGTTTTTATTAGAGAAGCAGAAGAGAAAAAAAATGACAAAACATACTTGTAACTTCCATGAGCGAGCTGGATCAACGCCTTCAGCCCTGCTCGCCGCCGGCCAGCCACCTCTGACGCCACCATTGAAACCAGCTCCGGCACCACTCCGAGCTCTGTTATTAGCTTTCTTACTCTTACATCTTCTTTGGCTAAGCTTTCAATCTCTTTTGCCGTCGCCTCCTTCTCTTCCCAGCTGCCAAAGTGAAGCTTCTTCACACACCTCTTCAACGATATTTCAGACCCCTCATCTTCACCACTCTGTTTCTCCATAACTTGTGTTGCTGATTCACAACTCTCAACCTTGTCGATGTTGCTGTTGGCTTTGGTAATTGATATGTCGAGTTGTTCAGATGGGTCAGAGCTTACTCGTGTCGCTTTGGGTTTGAGAAACCATTTGATGCGAGCAAGGAAATGAAATTTTATGGAAGACAGCACCCAATTAGAAGATGAAGAAGTAGACGACATGTTTGGCTTGTCAGAGGAAGACACGCACCAAGAGGTTCTGAAAACTGTCCTGGGTTTGTTTCTTTATATAATTTTGTTTCTATTTGTCCTTTTCTAGGCGCAGAGAGAGAGAGAATCAAAGAGAGCAAGAGAGGACTACGTATAAAACAGGGAAAGAACAGAGCCAGAGCAGAGAAACAGTGCTGTCCCGGTTTAATCTGATGGGTATTTATTGTCCCATTATCATTTAATCGTATTATTTTTTATTTATTTTTATATAAAATTGCTATTTGGCTTAATATCACTAACATTGAACCTATCTCTTTGGCCGTGCAACACAATTCCATTATGAGTGGGTTGATTATAAGTGGGACCTACTCCACAATTTTCACCAAATTCAATTTGAGAACCTTCTTGCCTCATCCGTAAGTTGACTAGAAATCGAAGATTACATTCACAATCCATCAAATTGGAAAATAGAGATATACAAATATTTTGTTTGAGAATAACTTGTTTAAGACATCTATGATCTCTCCTGCACGTGGGAATCAAGGGGGCCCACTGTACTTGTTCCCCCAAGGAATCACAAATTGTAGGCAGGGCATACATGTAAACCATTTGACACACTACATTGATACCTTTCATATTCTTAATTGGCTTTAAAATCATGTTTATATGAGTATCTACAGTATTCTCAAGCATTTCTGATTTCCTGTGTCAAGTTTTCACCACTAGAAGACTGGGGCATAGTTTATTATATTGTTATTTCCGTAGCCTCCTTTTGAATAAAGAATTCTAATCTAGGCCCTCAATCTATTATGTAATGTAGATGTATCATAGAGATTTGAGCTGGGAGATTCCAAAAAGAAAATATGCAGTGAAATATCAGAAGAAATATTTAGAACTGAAAAAGCCAGGTTGTTAACAAAGGCATTTTGGTTTGGGTATGTTGATGCACTAACTAATTGCATTAGTGTAGGTAAAGTTAGTGCAACAAGCAGAGTTATATGAGATCAATTTTGACTCAAACAAGAGAGTCAGGCAAGCTAACATATATAGAAATACAACTTCAGCAGAACTTTAGGTTGACTTCCATTGGGACATAAGCATGGTTAAGACATAGGACTCTACCAAACTAAATGAGATTCTAAAAGTTGGAAGCACATATTGTTCTCTGTCTCTTGTTTTGTCATAAGCAAATAACAAATTGAAAACTGAAAAGTGATGATGCTTGAGAAAGAATCACTAGTGTGAAGCCAACTGAAAGGACAAGTACGGACACTTTAGAAGTGCTTAAATCCATAAACAAATCAACCCCAATTTGCAGGTTCTGATTTAACTACTTAAATCTCTTGCTCCTAAAGACGACAAATAAAATACACAGCACATCTTTTGATAACAAGAACAAAGAATTCTAGAGTTCCCAGCGGCTGATGTGCTAAACTGGACCACAGAATCTGAATCCCAAAATTAGGTGAGCTTGAAGATAAGAAAGACAAGAGAGAGTGTAAGGAAGAAAGGGAAAGAAGAGAAGGATCTGTCTTTCTCCATTAAAAGCAAACAGAGAGGTGAGATGCACCAAACATTATTTATGGCCGTGAATGCCCTCTAACTGATATAGTGCCATATGGGTATATCCATTCCCTGGAAAACCCCTGAATAGTGATGCGTTTGAGACACGTGGGATGACGAGGCTGTGGAAATCAGCATGGGCATTCCACTAAGTGAAAAAAGGGTTATCTGCAGCATGGAAGACTGAAAATCCACAATAGACATATTGTGTAGCTGCACTTCCAGTACAAGTGATAAACAAGTTGATGGGGTGATGAAATATGTGTTGTTTGGACTTGGTCGCATTGTGGTGTGATGATAACTTATCAGACTAAGAAAGATGAAAAGTGCACAAGACCCACTAACGTGGTGGTGCGTGCATATATCCTCCTTGGAGCATCAGCATGCATATTAATGAGAAAGTTCAACACAAGAAGCTTCTCTCTGATAGGTTCTTCAAACTGCGCAGGTTGGCGCAGTATCCAAAAGCTGCTATGTTATTGTTTGAAAAACAGCTAACGAAATTTATTATCTGGCAACAGATGGGGAAAAAAGAAAAAGCACATGCACCAGCCGGGAATCGAACCCGGGTCTGTACCGTGGCAGGGTACTATTCTACCACTAGACCACTGGTGCTAGGACGTTAGGATGGAGGCATCGAAACAATATATTAAATTTAATTCTAAGGCTGGTTAACAATGCCTGTTAATGTAAAAAACATAAAATATCACCTATATATAGTATAAAAAATCTAAGCAATCACATTATTTATAAATCATAGATAATGAAACTTATTGTTTGTGTTTGATATGATGGATTCAATTTATATTAATTATGACTAAAATAATGATTTTGCAGTGTACCTAAAAAATAGTGATTTTAGAAACATTTTTTCTCAAAAGTGTAACTACCGTCGAAATATAAATAACATATGAGGAGTAGGCATATATATGTATATATATATATATTTTGCTTTACATTTAAAAACCTCATGTAATATCAGTTGGCTAATTTGTTAACCTATCTATTTGAAGTTATACCCTAGAAAAAGTCTCACAAAAAAGAAAAAAAAAAAGAAAAAGAAAAACCCTAATGGGGCTAACTTCATGCTACTTGCAAAGGGACTCTGGATCCATATTGTGCCGTGTTTACACTCAACAAGAAGTCCAATGTGTTGTCAAGAGCTTATAGCTCAAGGAACATGATCTCTATCCTTTGATGTAAGAGGTTCTAGGATCAAATGCCCAAATAATTAAGGAGGAAAAAAATTATATTTGGTATGTGTGTAGGTAGAATGTGGAATGTGTGTGTGATGCATGTGCGTGGAAACTCCTTCTTTTTGAGGAAGGGTTAAATATAATAGATAAAAAAAAAAAACTAAAGAAATATAATGTGTCTCAAAATAGTACTAAATTTAAAAGCGACGAAGCAAAGAACTTCCACTCTCCCTGTAAGACTGACGTAGAGTTAATCTAGGACTTTTGGATGAGAACTAGGTGGTTAAGTCAGAAATTTGGATGCTGTTTGAGGACGCTATGGTATAGTGAAGCCCGTTAGCAGCAGTATCATAAAGAAAAGAAGTAAGTTAAGAGGCTGAAGGACACGCAAAATTCAATTTGTCAAGCTTGAAACTGCCAGTAATGTGCAAATACATTCATGCCTGTTTCTCACACAAACAGCTTACAAATACATTTAGATGCTTACAATGACCCACTACTCAGGATTCTTTCATGTTCAACACAGGAAACCAAGACTAGTGCAGATTAGATTTAGTGTTCCAACTAGTACACATTTTTCTACTGACAGAGATCAAATGGATAGAGGATACTATCAGCAGCAGGAGCAGCAACATTCCACATGATTCACATTTTCTGTTCAGTAACATTATATTTTTCCTTTAGAGCCAAAACAACAAGACAAAAAAGGGGATCCAACTTGCCTCGTAGTCAAGTGAAAGCAGAGAATTAAGTATATCATTTATGCACAGTGTTCATGAGGAAGTTGATGTTTCAAGGAAGCAAAGTCTTCGACGCTTGCTTCGAAGTGACATTCCTAGAGAGTATTCCAGTGAGCTAGAAGCCCTCTCCAGTACGGAGCTCAGCACCTGGTGGACAGTACTTGGAACAAGTTGGCATGCCTCAATATTAATATGTTCTGTTTTGCAGCATCTAAAGAAAAACACATTCTTCACCCTTCCTCCCAAAGTTGATATTTCTGCCCTCATCAATTGTAGTTGAAGGCCATCAAGAGCCTGTCTCAGGTCAGATAGTAGCTCCGGCCGGTAATCGCAACATATAGATGCCATGTAAAACATTGATCCATCTCTTCCTTCATGGTTGCATGATTCAACTTTAACTTCATCATCATCCATTGGGATAAGAAAACCTCTGCTTGCTTCCATTGCATTCTTCTTCAGTAACTTCACTTGGTTGATTACTTCAGCCAATAACGTTGCTTTGTCCATCTGTCCTAACAATTAAACCCAACAAATCAAAGTCAAAACTTCAGCAACAAATGTTTTCCAACAGAAAAGGAAAACTTGTTTATAATCTGTGTTCCACTTAATTTTACATTCAGACTTCTGCTGATTGATGTTTACAAAATAACTCCATGACAGAGAACACCTAATTTAGTGGTGGATTTTAAGCTTTTGACGTGGTAGGCTATTAATACTTTGGAAATACTATATAAAAATACAAGTAACAGAAATTAATGTCTAGCATATTTTGAATAGTAAATGCTGGAAGCCTAATTACATAAGGGTTTACATAGAGGTGTTCCTTCCAGCAGAAATTAATGTCTAGCATATTTTGAATATTACATGCTGGAAGCTTAATTACATAAGGGCTTGCACATAGGTTTCCTTCTAGTGTATCACACTTACTAGTTGGAAAACAAACAGAGAATGTCAGATTAAACATAACAAGACAAAACATGCAGGCCACAGACAATCTTATAATGTACTAAACCGAACCTGTCATAGGACTGAGAAGAATAAAAACTGGCACTCTGCCCTAATATTAGGTTTTCCATCATTAGTGAAATACTTGCCAGAAACTATGGTTTGCATCAACAGAGATAAATTTAAGAAAAATACTCTCCATTTCAAACAGAATTGATGTTTTATAATTTGGTTGTTTTGACTGGATCAAGAAAAAGAATCATTCTATATTCTGGCGCACGATCAAGCACATAGCGTGCTTCTTTTATTGTTGTCGTTCAACTGTGTACTAATAAAACAATATAATATTTTTGACTTGATATAAAACAATATAATATTGAAACCAGTAACCTCTAATATTTTAATAAATACATAAAATCATTAACCATTTGGCTAGCTTGCACATTTGAATAATACCCTACAAGAAATATTAAATTCATTCAGCTAGTGATGTGGAGCAAAATTATTTGATTCAAATGTGTAGCAGATAGAGCCCTGAGAGCTATAAGATGTCTGTCATACATAATAAATAATTCTACATTTCATTATAAGTGACCCACCTTGTAGTTGACATTACCGATTAGAAAAAACAGTTCACAGATCAAGGACAACAATGACGCAATTAAAGCCTTTTGTTTAGTTGGAAAACGTGTCTCAAATCTCAGGTTGTTGTGATGGTTGCAGAACAATACAGAAACAGCTTCATTTTTCTTTTAAATCAAGAAAAACTAAATCAACATGCATTTTTACAGGGCCATAACACAGGTTTCCGTAGCCATGATCTGCAATAATTGTTAGGGTACTTGAAAAAATAACAACCAAGGGGGGGGGGAGTCTGGAAATCGTTGGAAATTTGTATCAGGAATCAAAATCTGTTAAAATATGTTAATTCGTCTTCTGAATTTGAATTGATTCTTTTCCATTTTATTAGCAGCATATACACAGGTGGGGCAATCCTAAATTTACTCTAAACCAGTTATATCAAAGTCATATATTTGAGGAGAATCCTTGACCAATCATGTAACCAGAGCCGATGTTAAATGCTCTTATAAACAAAGGAGTAAATTTTTCCAGATGAGGGAAAAAGCAGACATAACCTTCGCATTGCTGGGCACAAGACCACGAAGTGTATCAAGATGACCATTTATTCTCTCCCTTCTCCTCCTCTCTGCTTCACTGTGGTTCTTCATAGCAGCCAAAGCTTTTGCCTCAGACGCCTCTTTCTTTCCTATATTTATAGGGGACTTCATTAGATCCTCCTTCTCACCATTCAGCACCAACGAATTCGGTGACGCCAACGCACCTTGCGAAACCCCATTAGAATCAACAATTTTATGCGAAGTTGGATTGAACAGCCTCGAGATATCAGACCCAGTCGCAGACGAAGAAATCGAATTATAAGAGCAGTTAGCCGTTGTCCCAAGATCTTCTATTGAGATCATTTCAGGAGCAGAAGACGAAAACCTGGTGGACGAGTTGTGGGAGCGAACCAAAACGATAACTTTTGGAGAGTGAAAATTTGGAAACCTGCTTTGCTGCTCTGTTTTCCGTTGATGGTGTATGTCATAACTTCCATTACGTACAACAGAAAAAAAATGTTGAGGGGCTGGAGGAGGAAGATCAGTTACTAAACACCCACATTTTCATCTTGATATTTTCGAAAGACATCGTTCATGTGTGGGAAAAAGGCAAAGAGTTTTTGCGAAAGAGGCGAGACTGAAAGGAGAAAATAAGGCTTATAGCTGTTGAAGAGCTTATATGGACAAAACAATAATGGAGTAACGTTGACTATTGCTCTATAAATATTTATACGACCTCATTCTTCAGTCCATGAGCAGATAGACCCGAGAAGCACAAGGCTAACTTTGTCCACCTTTTCGTCTGTATATATTGGTGTTTAAGGCGTGCAAGGCTTGAACTATGAACTACCAGTAGCCTCAGTTATAATTTCTGGTTCAGGCAAATAACAGAAAGAATGTTAGTACTCGAAGACACTTTTCGTAAGTCACTCTTTATTAAATCACCAAAATCAAGGTGATTTAATTTAATTAGGATAATAAAATTGTACTCACTTTATTTTAAATTATAAAACATTTTTAAAGAAAATCACACATGCTAACAAAGTTTGAGATGAGAGAACATTAAAAATAAATTACTTTTTAATTTTTTTCATCCATTTAGAAAAAGAGTAATTTGATGTATTTTAAAAATTGAAATATCACATTTTTTTAAATTTGTTAGAGGGTATTTTTAAAATTACATATCAAAAGTTAAAAAATTCAGAGAAAGTGTCTTGTATAAAAAATAAAAAAAATAAAAATATAATTTATAAAAAAAAACAGAAGAGAGTATCAAATTATTGATGTATGAAAAGCAAAGGTTTATTGGATGGAAAATTAAAGCCCTCCAGCTGTAATCGTGGACTTCATCGGTTTTATCCTTTTTTTCTTCGTGGTTAGGAGTATTTGCTTTATTTTAATTTTTTTAATTGATTTTTACTGTGGAGTATTTGCCCTTGGGAAGTGATAGAAATATTATATGCATGATTGGCCTTGAAAGGTAGTGGAAATATTAAACCTTATCCTAAAACACACACGAAGAAGTTCAGTGTAGGCTTTGATTAGTGGTTGCTGAATGTGTCAACTATCAACCTTGCAATACCTGATTGGATGACTTCATTTTCAAACTACTCTCTCCACTCTATAATAGAATGGTATTCAAGATTCAGGAAACTCTATTTGGTTTAAAATATAGGATATTTAATATTTTTTATTTAAAAATATAAAATATTTTTAATTAAATCTCACTTTTGATAAAATAATTATTTACTTTCAAATTAATCATATTTTTTATATTTATTTTTATTAAGTACTCTATAATAAATATAAAATTATTCATCAATAATGATACTTTTTAAAAAAAGTAATGATTATATCTCAAAAGATTTAAAATATTTTATATTTTTTAACATCCAACTCCTTTAAAAATACCTTACATTTTTTAACGGAGAGAGTAGGTTTTATATATTTTCTTAAAACCAAAATGTATAAAATTCCATCAACTTTGATATACTTGCATATGACTTTCGTCACTTTTCAAAGTTTAAAATTAACCCTTAATCTTTAATTTTATTTTTCAAAATTCCTTACCATTAATTAAATATTATTTTATTAATATAATTATTGCCATGTCATATTAATAAAAAACACATGGCATATAACATGGAAAAAATATTTTTATTATTTTTTAACACAATTTAAGATGGAGTAAATTTACAATTTTTACTTTTAACACACATAATGATACTTCCTTTTTTCATGTTTTAGTAGGGCGATGTTGTTTCCATTGTTCACGGGCAATATAATTTAAAAGAAAAATTATAATTTTATTATTTTTTATTAATGTAAACAGCCTTTTACATTAAACAAATAAAAAGAAAAAAATATCTAAAAGATGTCAATGATAAAAGCTATACTCTCTCTGTTTAAAAATATAAGGCATCTTTTGAGGAGTTGTATATTCAAAAATGTAAAGTATTTTTAGTCTTTCGAGATGTAATCATTGCCTTTTTTTTTAAAAGTGCCCTTATTGATAGTGACTTTATACTTATTATAGAGTATTTAATAGGGATAAATATGAAAAGATAGAGTTAGTTTAAAAATAGATAATCACTTTATTAAGAGGTAAGATTCAGTTAAAAATGCCTTACATTTTTGAATGGAGGGAGTATAAATTCTGCTACTTGTTTTGTTTATTTTTTTTCAAACTCTTATTTGTTTGTAGATGTTATTTTCTCTTTTGAATGAAGTTTTTAGTACTTATTCAAATAAAATTATATGTTATTGGTATGTTACAAATAGAATGTATGCTGCTTTAGAATAATTTTTTTTTGCTATTGGTTATTTGTATTGATTTTATTAAAAAGAACTTGTAAAATATTATAATTTTTTTTGTATTAAGAGATAATTTTTTATTTATATGATTCTTATCAATGATAGCTTTTAAATACTTTTTTATTTGTTTAATATCAACAGATTTTTTTAATTGATAAAGAATAATAAAATTATAATTTTTTTAAATTATATTACCAGTGAACAATGAGAATAATGTTACTTAAATTAAAAAAAATGAGAGCATCATCATGAGTATTAAAAGTAAAAATTATAATTTTGTCCTTCCTTAAATTGTTAAAAAATAATAAAAATAGTTTTCCATGTTATGTGCCATATTTATTGTATTAATCTAACATGGCAATAGCTATATTAATAAAATAATATTAATTAATAGTAGGAAATTTTGAAAAAAAAATTAAATATTAGGGGGTTTATTTTAAATATTTAAATGTGAGGAAGATTATACATAATTGCCTTAAAGTTTAAAGGAGTTTCATATATTTTTGCTCTTTTTAAACTATATTCTTACTTAATTGTACTCCACTCAAATAATTAATAATGATATTTTGAATGAATTAAATGTTATATTTATTATACTCAAAGGTGTGTTGATAATATGTGAAAATTCTTATAAAATCAAAACTTTGACCACCTTTTTTTAAAAATATAAATTAATTAAAAATGACTTATATTATAATTTAAAATAAGAGGATAGAATAAAAAAATATGATGATATTTTAGAAGGGAAAATAATGAAACTCCTCAATTTATCAGGTAATAAATTGAATGGAAATATGTTTTTTTTTATATAAATGTGTGGCGACGCTCCTAATTACTAATTTTATGTTGAGATGTATTTTAGACTGTGCGTGGAAAAAAAATCTAAACAAACATATTTTACTTTCTATTTTTATGGAAAAGTCTTAAAGACGCAAAAGCCAAGGTGTCTTAGCGATGCTACCTCTTGCGAGTGAGAGGCAGTAACAAATTCAGAAAGTGATGAATGGAGGGTTAAATTGAAAATAAAACAAGAAGTGAGGACCCCAAAAACTACTTTAACATTTTTTCACAACTACAAGTTTTATTTTTTTAGCCAAGAACTATTAAAAGGGGGGCCCTGTAGATTCGTCCTGGTGCGATGTGCAAGGTTTAGACACAATATTGACATAAATATTAAATTGATTACTTCAAAAGATTGAGAAAATCTTAACAGGTTTTTGGGAATGTTTGGGAGTTTACAATAGAATGGAACATAATACTCGCTAATAAAATGGAATGCAGCATAGTAGAATAGAATTGATAATAAGGCTGTACAAAAGACTAACCCGATAAGAGATTTAATCGAAAATATGATCCTTTTGATAAAAAAAAATTGAATTAGGTAACCTGTAATCTAGTCTAATTTTGGTGTAACTTGAAGTTGAATAGGATTAGATCGGTCTAGTAGGACTAAAAGACTAGTCTCGTTTTTGTCTAGTATCTCACTTTTTTTTTATCTATGAGGGATAGCAATTTATTTCAATATAATAAACTCAATTAACATAATAAAATTATTTATAGTCATATAAAATTTATCACAACGATTGTAAATCTATAATAATCTCTAACAACAACAAAAAATATTTTAGTTATAATACAAATGATTCAAATTCAACAACATTAAACAACTTTTAACATATTTAAAATCTATTATATCAAGTTAATAATAAAATTCACTAATAAAAGGAGAAAATTGAGGTTGGTTAATGCTGAAATTTTACTCACTATTCATAACTTCACAAGTATAGAAAAACAAAAAATTACTAATTATTACTCCCTCCAATTTCATTTATAAGACACATTTTAAAAGATTTATTTGATCCTATTTATAAGTCATGATGCGACTTTTTAAGTAATATTTGAAAAGTATTTTCAAAATTATCCTTTATGAGAGGAAAAAAGTAATATGATATTAATCCGTTTCTATTTTTTTATATAAGCAAAATCACATATTTCAATGAGCATTTATTACACATTTCCTAAATTGCCCCTCATAATTTATATTAATGAAAAATAATTAATCCATGCTTATGTTGATTAATATAGGGAATTTTAGTCCAATTTCATATTTTTAGATATAATTATTATAGTTAACCAACTTTCTTAAACTATATGATATAATTTTTTTCTTTTATATATAGAAATAGAGGGAGTATCACTTTTTATATTTGTTATATAGGGACATATATAAAATTTTAAATACTTTTATTCCTTTTACCTTTTTTGCATTAGTGTTGATGAATATTGGTAGACGTAACTTATAAAGAAGATCAAAGGAGTATTATAAATTAACTTATTGTAATAATAATTAATAAATTAATTATAATTATAATAAAAAATTTATAGGATCAGACTGAATCAAGTAGTCCAAATGCTCGGTCTGTTGTCCAATCTAACCAGAAAAAGGAGTTTGATCTTTTTGATCCTTTTGGTCCTAAAAGATTAGTTTTTATCTGGACAGGATCAAACCGAATTATCTCAGGTTAGACCAAGTTGGACAGGATTAAAAGATTTTTGTACAACTCTAGCTAGTAATATGGTGAATATAATTATGATGATATAGGATGGAAAATTTAATTATTTAGGAATTTTATTAAGACATGGACCGGTTTTATTTGACCAGCATTTGATAATATTAAAAAAAATTAATGGCATGTAATTTATTATAATTACATTTTTCTAATTTTAGAGTTGGGGGAGGGGTAAGAGTGAGACTGGGAGGGTAAGAAGAACGATGGATAGTTTTATAATAATATTATTTGTTTCGAATCATTTTATCAAAATTATGAGAAAATTGATTTAAGGTGACTAATTAAGAATTTGTTTAAGCGCAAACCCAAGCCATTCAACTTATTTTTCTTTTTTTTTTTAAAAAAAATCTCTTAACGCTCCCAAGCACTACCTCTGTATTGATGAAGTATATGTTA